ATGCTGGCAAACTGCTGGTAAAGCATTTGAACCACATGCACTGAATTTTCGAACCCGGAGCAGCATATTCATCATGGTGTGGGACTGCATCAGCATCCATGGCTTGGGCGAATTGATAGTGGTTAATGGAAACATGAATCACTAGAAATATATCGATGTTCTGGAGTCAGGCTTGCTACCATCTATTACTAACATGTTTGGTGACAGGAATTATTCATTTGTTCACCAGGATGACAATGCTCCTTGTCACAGGCCCAGAGCAGTTGATGATTGGTTTGACCAACAGGACATTCGCAGGGTGATGTGGCCTGCCCAGAGTCCGGATGCAAACATAATAGAAAATGTGTGGAATGATATGTCAAAACTTTTCACAAATGCCCGTCTAACCAGCAAAGAAACTCTCTTATATTCAGTGTTTCATGCTTGGGCCAGCATAAGCCCTGAACGCATCAGACAATTACATGAAACCTTGCTTCGTAGACTGGCACCTATTATTAGGTCACGTGGCTATGCCACTAAGTACTAATTTTGGACTTGAAACTGCACATTTTGGTAGAATGTAAATTTTGTTCTCATTTTGTGTTTTTTTGTGAAATTTGATGTTAATAAAATGATACCAGGAGCATATCATTCCACAGTCATTTATCTCCCCCATAGTACTGGCTCAGTAGGGGTGACACTTCTTTTGTCCAGTGTGTGTGTATATATATATATATAACAAGGACACAGTCACCTCAACCTGTCTATCTATAACAGGTTACCAAGAACTGTTAACTCCATCACATTTACAGCAACTTATTCATCCTAGTGTTAGCTGACCTTGCAAGCAATTCAGTTTATTGGAATGTATTTCTGAATAACAAGTTAAGAAAATTCACTAGTTAATTAAAGACACAAAACAACTGTCACTTTTACTTTATAACCATTTTGTTATTATTTTGATAAATTTAGTTACAGTATTGATAAACAAAGTATCACGTTTTCAATAATTAATATTTTAAATTACAATCCATAACTGCAAGGTTGTGTCATTGACCAAAATACAACGTTGAGTCAACGTGGCTGGATCAACGTTGATTTAACTTTGAATTTAGGTAGATCAACGGCAATTCAACGTATCAACCTGTTTTCAACGTTGATCCAACGCAACTATACCTGCTGGGTTAGAAATTTCAATACAGGGGGATGAGTAAGTATATGTAGCATTCACAAGCAAAAACGCAGGCTGAGACGTAGTAAATATATTCAGACATAAAACTTGAAATGTTGACCATTTTGGTCTTAGTAAGTCTGTCATCGTGTCTATATGCGGATAGCGCGTACGTTGCGCCCCTCCATGACTGACTCACAAGAGAGAAATAAATTTATACTTACCAGTTCCCTCGCTGTCTAATAAGATAGTGACAAATTCTTTCTCTCTGTTTCTCAGAACCTTTGTTCCCATCCAAATACCGGACTTCTGAGGGTACATTTTATTTCCAAGCTCAAACGCATCGTGAGTTCCAGCCAACCTATAAATTGAGAAAGCCCCATTTAATGGATAACATACTGTAAATGCACCATAGGGACATCAGGACAGATGCTTTTAAATGATCTTAATTTGTACAATAGCTTTAAAAGCAGTGGTCTCAAATAAAAGACTTTAAAATGTTGTGTGTATTGTAGTGACAAGTGGGTCAGTACGTCAATACTTATACCAGTAAATTAGCACTTGTACATGTGTACAGGTGCATGTTAGACTGCTGTGGGATGCTCTAGGAGAAACTGTTACAGTCTGAGTGAGGGACTTTTAAGGACAATAACAAAATAAGGAAAATTTGAGGTAAGTTTATCTTTGTAAAGTTATGCTTGTTTGGTTGATTTTGTCAAGTAAATGTTAAATTTAATATTGTGTTATAGATATTTGCTGGCGTCAAGTGGTACTCTGACCCGTATCAGAAAGTTGAATTATTTTAATTTGTGAAAAATGGCTTATTTTACATTGGTCCACATGAAGCTGTCACCGAGTTTATATATATATATATATATATATATATATATATATATATATATATATATATATATATATATATATATTTTTTTTTTTTTTTTTTTTTTTAGTCCGGCTTCTGCTATCAAACAATCAAACTGCTAACGGTATTTTAAAATTAACCATAATCTACACGTACCTTGACAAAATATAAGACTTTCCGCTCCGTGCTGGTCCACAAATCCCCACTACACTGACCGGATCCGTTATGTCCCGCAGCAGCTCTAGAGCCTCTTCCACCACGACCAGGTGGGTTCTTTTCACACCTTCCTGCTTAACGTCCTTGCCTGAAAACTGATCATACTGAAAGTCGTTCGGTAAAATCAGAGGCACAGAGGTTTGCCTTGTTGCTAGATCTCTTTGAGAGATGGGCAATATCTCGTAGCCCTGTCGTATATGAGGGGCCGTCAGCGAATTGTCTTCTGCGGCCATGTTTCCACATCTGGTTTCTGTAAATGAAATGAGGATAGGGTATGTTATCATTTTTTTCTGTAAACATAGAAATATTGTGTACTTGAATTCATTTATTTCGAACATGTACTTGGGATGTATATCATGACTAATATTAACGTCCAGCTTTGACACAAGGAAGGTACCATACATCATACATGTCTACGGTGCCAGCAAAATGAGTGTATTTTCCACTCACATGCAATTTCCACAATACAACTGACAAGAGAAGTGAAGTAAAGAAAAAAAAGTTGGCTTGGATTAGATTAAAAGGAATGACTAATTGTCGACCATATTTAAAGTACTAATCAGGTCGTAGTATTTTGTTGGAAGAAAGGGACCAACTGTAGACAACTCCCAGCCGACAGGTCACTGGCTTCATGGCATCACCGTATAGACCGTATCATCAACGATCTGGGAAAATATTAAAAAGTACGTTTTACATGTACAATGTGGTTTACGCGCACCATTGTTTATTAATGTAACACAGCCATAGTACTTGTGCTTTTTGTAACTATATCACAATACTTTGCTTATATCATTAATACCTCCATATAACGTGTACCTGGAATACTGGTGAACCCTCCACACCTATTCAGTATTTGCAATGTTCAGTAACATTCCATGTCAGGTGGTCAGTTATGATAATTGCAAGTAAGGTAGAAAATTTGAGTTGGTATTTTAACAACAACATTTATTATATATATATATATATATATATATATATATATATATATTTCAGAAATCTGAGTGAGTTATTTTTTATTTATTTTAGAACAAGACAAAAACGTGCACCGACAACGCCAGTTATTGAACCAGGCAATAACTGTGCGAGTCACGTGGTCTGGATAATTGGACGTTGAAGCTTGGTTGATGTATATTTAACTCTTATGATCTTTAGTTATCATGTTATTGACTTAGATCAAGGATGAACAGATGGCATTTTTGTCTCGGTGTCACTTACAGTATCAGCCATTGTCTTTATTACTTTAAAATGAGACGTTTGGTTTTGTGAAATACATACATATTTTGTGATGCACTAGTAAATGAATGAAGACAATAATTTTTCTTGCTTGCAGTATTCTTATTCTGTAGGAATATGAAATTTTAAAATAACTACCGGTATATGATATCTGTTAATATGCTTTTTTGAAAATTTCAACTTTGCTGTTGTACATTTTTATACTTTTTTTGTCAACTTTCCTGTCATTTAAGTCAGATCTGATCACAATGAAACTTCAATTTTTGAATGTTATTCCTTTGTTTCTATAGCATCACTTAATACGTAAATAAAGAATTTCACTTTATAATCAAGTTTGATCGTTTTGAAATAATTGCTATGAATTTAGTGAAATAAAAAAAAAATAAACAGATACAGGAAAGTCTAATGTTCACCTTCACCTGAACAGGTACCTGTAATTATCTCAGTCTTGATGATGGCTTGTTAGTCCCTCTCAGACGAACAGACGAAACAGTCAACAGGTAAATCAAATTTCAAATATCATAAATGAAACCTTTCTGACTATCAAAACTAAGATCCAATGAAACTATTTTCACATCAGATTTTTTATCTTTATTTTATTTTTTAATTTATTTTCACTAAATGTAGGGTCACCTGCCTTTTTTACAATAATTTGATTATCATTCATTTCTATAATTGCACATTACATTTCACATCTCCCTTGTCCATTTCTAATCACGACTTTCTTCTTATTTCTGCTTTTGTCAAATTATTTGTAATTTTTCTTAAAGCTGTAGTATTTTTTTAAATTTCGTCAATATCATTAATCCAATTTTCAATTACAAATATCCAATACGAAATTATCCCTTGGGTCGCCATATAGAGGACATTCTAACAAAAAGTTCCTTTCACACTCGACTGCCTCCCAATTACAACACTGATAAATTATCTGATCTCTACTACATGTATGTCTCCCTTTTTTAATTTCAAGTTGATGATTCGAACATCTGAATCGTGCTAAAACAGATATACAACTAGCTTTATCAAACACTGTAACGTATGTCTCAATAATAAGATCATGCTTAAATAACTTATATAAATCTACATGTATGTTCATATTGTTAGACATTTCGTTATACCACGACTGGAAGTCAATATCTATGCATCTTTGACTAAATTCCTTTATAAATAAACTTTCATTACCCACTCTTTGATTAATCCAGGCTATTCCAAAACCATACCCATATAAGAGTTTCTTTACTTGTATTGCCCAGCAATCCTTATCGTTTTCTGCCATATAATACAGCCACACGTAACACGCTTTAATAAACCTATTTTCAGGTTCTTTCCTAAGCCTGAGCCAGTACTTAATTATTTTCATTAGATGCCCAATTTTTAAAGTATTTCTGCCTAATTAACCCTTGTCCCTACATTTGATGCATTTCTTCTTAATTGCAATAAAAAATTGCAGAATTTATTCCCCAATTTCCGTATCTTGCCCAGGATGGAAGCCCCATAATAAGACATTGTTTAATATTATCGAAAAAATGATATTTGAATGGATTTTCCTGCTAGCTTACTATCCAGGCAGAAAAATAGGTCACATAGGTAGGTTAAATTTCTGACCAAAGATTTAAAGAAAGGAGCAGTCTTTTTGTCTTGTCTTTTTTGGCTGATCGAGTGATTAAATCAGTTTATCACTTGGCATGTCGACTTTATTTGAGTCGTATAAAAATCTAGTAGATGTGGTTTATATGTGTTACTGCCAATCCACGCTCCACCGATGCTCGGTTCATATGAACCTAAAGTAATAATCCAAATAACAAATAACGTTTTCACGACGTTATCAAATGTGTATAGGAAAGTGGTCAAAGTCTGGCACGACTGAAGTTGTTAGGGGGTAATTAACCTTTGCTTAGCAGCTTTAGTGGTCAGACATCTAAGCCGCTTAAGCTGAAAGCAATTTAGCCCCTTGGAGATTGACCGATCACGCTAGATCGATCTAGGTATTATTTATTATCTAAAAAAGTGCACAACAACGGCTACAACGATGACAGACACGGATAAAGGCTATACATACAGACACGTAAAAATGCACAATTTCTTGGGAGTAGCAAACAAGCTAATAAGGAATGCATTTCTGTAAAAAATGGAAATCAGTCACACGTACATATTACAGGGTTTGCCTGTTGGGTCTATTAGAATAGAAACTAGACTTATATAAATATTGCAATTGTCTTTGAAATGACATTGTCGTTTAACTTTGGACTGAAACGTCACTGTCGTTTAACATTGGACTTAAGGTAGATCGGTCGTTACATGTTCCAACGTTCGAATTTTTTTTTAATTTGTTTGAAGAGACACCCAAGTACATTAAAAA